TTTCTCCATAATCCCCCATTTACTGTTTATCTGGATCATAACGTTACAGCAGTGAATTATTGCTCTTGGCTCTCTGCGTAGAGAGGAAACAGTTAATCTAACACGGCAGGTTTCTGATTTCCTTATAATTTGTTTCCTGAATGGACTAACCTGTTCAATTTGAAATAAAAGCTCAAACGCCACGACCACCACGGTGCCACTACGGTTCAGAAAATCACCTTTTTTCACAAAATTCCGAATTTTTCTTTCCGCTCCAGCCTCTTAAACAAACCACAATTTGCTTAAGAGAAAAACCATACTGACTGAACAGAAAATGGAACTTTTCTACATATTTACCACCCCAGAATATATTACATTACACCTGAATTATTTCATGACTTTGTTTTCTTAGAAGAGATTCATGTCTTGCATATGAAAGTCCTTCTGCTTGGCTCATTCATGGGTTCAGTTGATCTTCTTGATAATACTGCATTTAAACAAGGGTCTCATTGCCGCAAAACTTAAAAAAGCAGACATAATTGGTAATAATCCTTTTCATTACAGTAATAACAGTGCTATCATGAAGAGGATCTTTTTCTGCATCACTTAAGACTGGTGGATTTGAAAGTCGGATCACGTGCATTCCTGTGGGTTCTGTTCCAGCGGTTTGCCAGTCGTTGAGTCAGTCAGAAGAAAGGAAAATCGGTGATTTATGAAGTGACAAGGGCTAATTTTCAATGTTTGGCCTTTTGGGCGGGTTTCTATATGTGAAGTAGACTGTAACAGTACCGGAGTAGCTTCAAGCAGCATCGGAGAGAGGCCTGTATTAGTGCTTTTGTGGCTGGAAAAGACCGCCCACCTATGAAGTTGGTACAGGATGGTTAAATGGCATTAAAAGGCACTGTGGCCCAATCAGAACAGGTGATGTAAGATAGAGGAATTAATCAGCACACATCTGGGTCACACAGGGTTACACAGACGGCGAACAGCTTCGCTGTGGAGCTTTACTGAGTTTCCCTTATTATGCTATCATACGATTTGTTTCCTTTTGTCTTGTAGTTGTAAAATGGCTGTGCTAGCATACAAAAGACAGATATTCTGAAACAATCTATAATAAATTTGACCTACCAGCTGTTTGTGAATGGAGCGGCCTGGTAAGGGAATGGTTTACACAGGAAATAATTTACATTTATGTTAGCAATTTTTCATAATCTGTATAAATTGTTAAAATCCACTGTGATCTCATGTTTGGCTAAGGATGAAGCTTATCTTATTTCCAGCTGCGCTCATGTCATTCCAAGAGGTGCTGTTCTATGTTTCAGGGGCATATTTAACTCGAGGTACAGAGAGGTGAATAGTAAGAATGCTATCCAATGAACGTTTGATTGTGAGAAAGTTTGGGGCCCAGGAATACAAGATACAAGTCTAACGGACTTCATTAGGGATATTTTGTAAGAAGGGAATTTCTTTTTTCCTTAACACTGCTGACAAACACAATAAAATCTGAAAGTAAATTAAAATATTGGTATGGGGGAGAAGTTGACATAAGTCAATAAGTTCTTCAGCAAGGATAGATGGACACTAAGGAGGATAGTTGCTAAACTCCAGAGAGAGTCCTCCGAAATAACAATAAAAGACAGCGAGTCTCATGGGCACTGCTGGCACCCAAGGCAGATACAGAGAGAAGCATAACCTGGGGCAGGGAGCATGATACCCGGACACCTGAGCAAGAGACAGAACCAATGCGACCCGACGAGTTTTTCACCCCCTTTCTGACACAGATTTATATTTGGATAAAGCCAAAGGATGCCTTCAACCTTATGGGCAGGCACTAAGCACTTCTCCCTCAGGATGTTCCCATACTGCAAGGTGATAATTCCCCATAAAAACTACAAAATTAATTGAAGAGTAATTTCATGCACACCATGATGAAGTTAAAATCTGCCCATGGTCTACTGAGTTCCTCCAGCTAAATGTGGCATATTCTGGAGTTGCAGAATGTGAAGTTTATTTCTACCTCTTTCTTCCCTCTGAGAAATGGAGGTTTTTCTTCTTGGTCCAAAATCCCACTGCACACACTTCAGCACTTACATGAAACTGTTTCAAAAAGGACTGAAGCTGTTCTGAGATAAAAGATAGTGCCTTCTCCATAGGAGTTACACGAGAGTTGCATACACTATCAAGGATAGCTGTGTTACTTCACACCTCTATGGTTCAGGGTTCAAGTCTCACCTCTGTGCAGTTTGTGTGGATTTTGCAAGTGTTCTCTGTTTTACGTCGGTTTCAACCTGGTAGTTTTTTTTCCTCTGGAAAAACATGCAGTTACTTTAGCTGGCGTGCTCACAGTATATGAGGTAGCCTATATGAGTGTTTGCGTGTTTGCATGTCCATGACTAGTGATGGGCTGGTGCCCCATCCAGTGTGTACTGCAGGTTTCTGTCCTGTTCCTTTGAATATTACCCCCCTCTCCCAAGTGATTGGAAGACGGATGAATATATGTTTTGAGAAATGTCTCACAGAATCTTTAACTGACATTCATCCCAACATTCCATTGAATTTCAAGCATACTCATAAAAAAATGAAACTTTATAAAATAAGTCACAATAGAATATATATTTAAAAACAATTTCAATTTAAAAACATAGGGAAGAAGTTATGGATTTTGCTAAAATGAAATGACTAAATGCTAAATGAAAAATGTTTTATTTGTTTGGTCATTTTTAATCAATTGAAACATTTTGCAAGGTAAATTACTGTCTTTTTAAAATATAATTAAACAAAAAGAATAAATATACAATAAAAAGACGATATTACTTACTGCTGCATTCACTTTTTAATTACAATTTTCATACTTAAACTGTACGCTCAGTTATTGCTGATGTTTGCCTTCAGAAAACCTGTTCAGTTCCTACAAAGATACCAAATGTAATAAAAGGCTTCTGATGCCAGTAACTGATGTGAAATGATCCCAGAATGGATTAGGGTTTTCTGCATGGTTCCTTGTTTGATAAACAGATTTCTGTGTCATTCTTATGAGGAGCAAGACCCCCACCAGTAATGCAGCCCCTATGAAACTTTACCAGAACCAGTACCACTACTAAGTGCCAACTTTCATAACTCCACCGAAGGCTCACATGCTATTAAATATCTTCTGACTGCTGACTGCATAAAATCTTGTTAAAGCAAATTATATTTGCAAACAGTTTTGTATAGTTTTGAGGACACAATTTCTGTTATAATAAATTCAGTGATAGAATGGTTAATCTATGTTTCTTTAGTACTTACATACTTTAGTATATACTCATCTGAAGTCATATGTAATGCTGGAATGCTTGTGTCTAATCACTGTCCCTGTCACTGTCCCTGTCCCTGTCACTGTCCCTGTCACTGTCAGTATGATGGAAGGCAAATATACGCTGGAATAACTGAAATGTAGTCATGAGTAATTTTATCTCTCAAATTCTTTTCCTGCATCTAAAAGGAAATTACTTACACATGAAAGCTTCTTAATGGCAGAAGATAGCAGACATAAAACGCAAATTCACAATTTTAGTGTCCAAGATGTTTGTTTGTATATAATTTTCTCAATCTCATGTCTAATGAAAACTTAAAAATGGTTTAAAGGACTGTAAATGTTGCATTTTAAACATGGATATAACATTTCTTATTTTATAAATCTGAAATTGTGAATATATATAATTCCTCTAGTTCCAATGAATGTAGACAGTTTAGAGCAGGTGACAGTTACAGTGAGGCTGAATGGATCATTTTCCATGACACCTGTGTTGTACAGCTTATGGTTGACTGTGACAGGACAGAGAATGTTGACCTGCGAAAATGTCTGCAAAGTGTTTGACGATTCCAGCCTGTTTTGTGGGTGGAAACAGTGTCTGAAGGGGGACTGACGGCTGACGTGAGACAGCCCACACTCTGTGCGGGGGACTGGCAAAGCCTCACTTTGCACATGGCCCCGGGCACAGCCATCACTCAGTCTCAGTCTCAGTCTCAGTCTCCATTCAAGAAGCCCACCTTCTCTCCCTCCACAATTCTTCTCTTTCTGTTGCATTTAAAGGTGCAACTTCTGTAAAGGATAAATAAATATATAGGCTATTTTTTACTGAGTAAAAATGAGCTCTGGTTTCCTCTTTACCTGTTAGCTACCAGTTACCAAGTTCGTACAACAATTACCAATTCATTTTGGTAAACGAGATCCATCTGTAACATGGAACTATATGTATACTTATTATTGTTATTGTATTTTTAATTCACAATAGTGTAGTAAATACCACAAAGAGCAAGGAGCCATGAATTACCCTATGCTAAATTAAGCAGGACACCTTTAAAAAGAAAAACAACTAATAATATCAGCATTAATCATAGCCTTTCTGTAATGCAGTTACAAATTACAGAGCAAAGGACCAGGGGCTGAGGAGTCTTGCAGCTAAAAAGAATTAACCATCGTTCATAAAACTCTGCATCCCAATAGAAGTGGTTTGGAAATATACTATTAAATATACCGAACGACTGGGCAATATCACATGAGCATATAAAAATAATAGCTGTGATTATATGAAAAATTTATATTGTAAATATAAATATTCAACATTCTAGAGCACTATCATTTTCCATTGAATTGCGATGTATTTCTGGTCTCTTCATATTATTGCCATACAAGCTTTCAACAATTCTCTACAGTTAAATTTCAGTTGTGTATTAAAATGAACAACATACACCCGTTGGTATTTTTAGGAATACACCTGTACTCATTACAAAGTCAGCTTAGCTTCATAATTTTAAATGTCTAACTTTATAACCTTTATAACTTTATCCTAATTACGCGAATAAATTCACTCTGTCGTTTTATTCCATTTTGAATTGCCATTACAATAAGTGATATGTCCGGTAAAAAAAAAATTATAAAAAAATTGGCCCTTACTTTATCTTTCCTGGAAGAATAACCTGACTCCCCTGTGAACCCGTGCGGCCCTGGCAGGTAGGACCCAGCGGAAAACAGGAGCGCTTCGCAAGAGCCATTCTGGGTGAAGGAGCGCTGAAGACAGAGAAAGCGAGCAGACTCCTCCTCATCTCCGGTGTCAAACTTGACATCAGCCTCTGAGCCCAGAATGGTAACTCGTGTCGCAGCCGGAGCCCTCACACCAGTGGCATGCTTTGTGGAGTTATGCGCCTCGCACTGCCCTCTGAACCGCGGCCATGGATTGCAGACTCGGCGTGCTTTTTCTCGCAATCTTCACATGTAGTTGCGGAGGACAGCTTAGCAGTTATCCATCTAATGAAGGTAAGTTGGCATTACAAATCAACGCAAGTGAGACGGGAATCGTGCTCCACTTCTCTGAGCCGGCTACCAATGTTGTCCGCTACACTTAGTTATAATTATATAGCTATTTAGATAATGAGGTCCCGAACGAGCTGCGTAAACCCATTATAAATGTTCAAAAGTGGGTTATTGGGATCACTAATCTGTGCTGCCCGGTACGGAGCGCTGGACGGCTTCATGTGAACTGGGGTCTGCGTAACGCATGGAAGGTTTTAAGGTTCCCCTCCGTAAAGCTTGCAAAACGTAAATGGTATAAACCCTTACCGTCGAAATCAGTATGAGGATATTAGTATATATGAGTGAAGAACCGTTTTAATACTTAGGCGTCCAATAAACCTCTACTTTAGACTGCAGTTGCATTATGCCTTACGTTGTGTTTTATCGTTGCCAGTTATTATGATGTCTGTTAATTATTTGCCGGTAGCGATTATATATTAGCCGCTTTAATAACCACCCAGGGTCTTCACCTTGAGTAACAACGATCTGTAAATTAACATATAACTTTTCCATCGTGATTTGAATCTACTCATTTTTATTTTGTTTTACTCGTAATATTGACAGAGAAAAGTATTGTAGTGTTTATGGGCTACTTTGTGTACAATTTATAATGTAGGCTAATATGTTTTATGGGTAGTTTTATAAGGTGTAATAATGTACGTTGGCCTACAGAAAATAATGTTTCCACATCTTCAAATTAATGTCAAGAATTACAACAGAATAAGTTCACCTTTAGACAAATAGAATGGCGTTAAAGTTAACTAGGCTATATTATCACCTTCAAATTAGTCTGTCACCCGGCCTATCTTGAATGTTGGGATGTATTAATAACGACTAGTTTGTGCAGTTTCATACAGATAAAACCCTGTTTTAACCCATGGGAAGCATGGGACGAACAGAGTAATTGTAGTGCCTTAAACTGAAGCTGCCAGTTTTATGACTGTTTTTGCAGTTTTATACAGATAAAACTCATTTCAAACTCCAGCAAGCGCGGGGCGAACTGAGTAATTGTAGCGCCTGAAAGCTGGCAGCTTTAGACGTTAATATTTCTTTTTTGTATTTATACGAAAAGCAGTTGGAAGCACGTATTTAGAATTACCATGGTAAAAAATAAGATCAGATTACTAAAAGTCGATATAAATTCGGAGTATACATATTTCAATATCTAGAGAGTCTTATTTATTATGTATTAGTCGTTACTGCAGACATGATATGTATATGACAAATTTCATGCACCACATATTGAATAGTAAATGCATTTGAAAATAAATCTCACGCTGTTCAAAGTGTAATTGGTTAATAAATATTTTAACCATCATGATAAATTAGTCATTTAAAATGAAATATATAAAGCACATCTGAAGGGAAAAATGCACATTTGGAGTATGATGGCTTTTGTCTCTTACCCTGTCGTCTCTTACCGTGTTTAAATCACAGATGGTAACACACGGTGGATGCGCACGAACTGCGTGTGTAGTAACTTGTAAAGCAAACTGAAATTAACTTGATTTGTATGGATAATACAAATACATTTAAGAGTTAATAAGTTTCGCTTAATTATATTGGCCTTATAATTTGTAGCTTTTTTAAAAATCAGTTTCTGTTTCATAACTGCTGGAACTGTAAACTACAATTCAGTGTAGGTACAGAGTTGGATCTAAGAACTATGGGAGTTGTCCTGTTGAGGGAGTACCCCTACCCTGTGCCCTGTGCTGTCTGGTACACGGTCTAGGCCTCCCCTTGCAGCCTTCTCTAGGGTAAGCGTTTGGAAAGTGGGTGGATGGATGGGGCTGTAGGATGTTTATGTTTTAATGCCTGTTGGGGTCAGTTTTCTATTAATCTGCCAAGAAATGTGTTATAGCCTAATATTGAGTCGTTAACTTACTTCCCTGCGTTTTGTGAATTCTTTGCTCAGCGTAGTACTTTACGTTTAATTGAGTTTAATTGCGTTAATGCCACCAATGTATACGTAGTCTGACTTGAATGTGAGTGTATGTACAGCATTTTTAATTACCTGAACTTTTCTACGGCTTAAAAAATAGCTGGACTAACAAGTGTGTATAAAAAAGCCACAACCTGTCTGTCTTTTGTCTGAAAAAAAGAGAAAAATGACATATCAAATACAATATAGGCTACGTACAATAACTGCATATACTGTTTATGACAATAGCATTTTTTTTCCCCGCTGAACGTAATTCTTAGAAAAATGAACTAAAAATGAGTCGCTGTAATTCGTTTTGGTTTGAAGTTGCCGAAAACCATGTTATTTATTTTCCTGAACATTTCAACACCCGAAAGAAGTTACCGGTGACTGTTATTAGAAAAAAAAGTATACAAATTGCATAATCATGAGTGTATTTCCACATCCTACACAATATGCACTTAATATAATGTACGACTTTTTAATAAGTTGAAGAGTGGAGTTTACACGGACTATTCATTTTAACGCTATTGGTATCATGTTAGCTACCAGATACAATCCATCTTTCCATCCGTCTTCCATGCAGCTTATCCAGCACAGTGTCGTATATTACTCCAACGAACAGTATTTTTTATGGTATAACAACCTGGCAGCGGCTGTTCAACCGGCAAGGGTCAGTATTGAGCTACAGGTCCTCCCGAGAGCGTCAAAAGCCACCCCAGTACTCACAAAATAAATCTAAATTTAACAATAAAATAAAGTCGAAGAAAGGAAACGAACGAGACAAAGCTAACACGCTCCACGACTTCCAGTCATACTACAACTAAAACAGCCATCGCGAATTAAAAATGCTTTATGTTAAATATTTGAAATGTAACCCTAGGCTTGATTTTGGCAGATGAAACTGCAGCATTTCATTTAATGAGCTTTCTCTTAGAGATGTAGTAACATGAACTTGAATTAAAATAAGTCCTTACTTTTGTCCTGTATGCCTTTGTCTTGAATGTGCTATCATAGATTTATACAGTAACTTGCTCTTAACTCGTGTAGTTGTGATTTCTATATATTTTAGTTCATTTTGTAAGTGTAAATAAACTAATAGACAACTATTAATGCTTTTGGTTCTAATTGTTTCATCTTTTTCCCCAGATGAACAAATAAATGATTGTAACTTGAGTGGGATAGTTGAGTTTTGATGAAATGTTCTTCTGTCTACCACTTTCTGGATATTCTGGATATTCTGAATGTAGTGCTATGAATTTATCAATTTTTTCTGATTCAGTATTTTTCTATACATCACATGTTCCACTTATTAAATTTCAGGATTCAAGCAATATTATAATTTTGTTTTCAGCAACTTTATTGATATTTTACAACTTCTAATATTTTAGTTATTACTTATTGCTCACATTAATATTAAACACGTTTCTCATCTGAAATGTGTGGTAACACAGTATGCAGCCCTTTTTATCAAAAACACAAAAGGCTCATTTTTGGCTAAACTTTTATCCCTCATGCCAGCATTTAATTCCAACTTGCTGACTGTTACGTGTCTTGATTACGATAAAATATTCATTATGTGTTGGCCTGGCTGCTCACTACATCTTGTTAAAAAGGTCTTCTGAGCAGATGTAATGCTTCAAGGTTATTGCTGTTCAATTTGTTTGTTGACTACAGTCACTTATACGATTGTTGCCCTCTAAATATAATTTAGCTATAACCCATAGATTTATGATACTTGTTGGTATCTGGTTTATTTTCATTAACCTTTTCTATTTTTTAAATATTAGATGAAGGTTATATTAGTGAATGTGTGTTTTCCCTCATATTTCAATACAGCATGACTTAGGAAACTGTTGGTTCAGATGGGTTCTTGCACAAATAAATTGCTCCTAAAAACATTACTCTGCAGTTAGGAATGCTCTGCTCTCTGACATTCTACTGAATATAACTATAATCAAATAAACAAATAATCTAGCTATCATCTATGACTGTAACAAGCGGATCTTTCATTTCATGGGATGGTTTCTCATGGTGGGCAGCTCAGTGACTCAGTGTTGTTTTCTGACAGCCCAAGGGGTGCAGGTCCAAATCTAGCGTCCGAGTTCTGCTGGTTCTTGTGTGGGTGCTCTGGCTGCGTCCCGCAGTCTGAAAACATCGATGACTTTAAACTGCCCTTTGTAAAGCTCTAGCATCCATCCTCTGTGGTACCAGGATGAGCACAGCCCACGTTGCGTAAGTAGCGATTGACTGTGGATGGGGGTAGGGGTGTCTGAGGGGCACAGATACCCTGGCAGACCCAGTGGGCCCAGCTCTTCACAGGGGCAAGCTGACATTTTCTCAGAGGGCTCAGAATTTCTATCCATGCCCCTGTATGGGAGAATCTTTTAGCCTTCATTTGGTAGCAGTGAACATTAGCTCTATGGATTAGGCATCTAATTCTCCTCCTGTACAAAAATGCAGGATCCTACCCCAGAGAGTGAGTCAGTGTGCAAAACGCAGGCCTTCCCAGCACTACAGTCGCATAATGAAAGAGAAATGGCAACTGAAGACAATTAATTATCCTGGATTTAATTAGCTTACATTTTATTTTTCTGATTGCATTTTTGGATGTGATTTATATCCTTAATTAAGAGGTAACCACATAAAAGTTTTATAGTACTAAAACAGTTATAATTTGTGGGTCGTACAGTGATTTCCTGTCAAATGACTCTCCGCTGATTCTTCCAAATAGTATTGGTGCTTTTCTGCAGGAATCACTTACAGATTTATGCTTCCTCTCAAAGTGACCTGAATACGTTTAGCCAACCTATAATGTGCAATATAGTTACTATATAGTCTTGTTAACATAATAGTAATACTTCTCAATATAAGTAACAAATTATGTCAAAAGTTTTAACAAAGGTAAACATCTGGGAAATTGCCGCAATCAATAATCAGTTACAATTATATTAGGATGGCTTAAACTGAAATGGATGCAGACAGATTATCTGAAAGTAACATTTATCTAAAATGAAGACAGAGATCAGTATATTAAGAAGCTTAAAACATAGAGTGCTATTTGAGTCTGCACAAGGTGCTGTTTTTACTACATGCCTATTTACTATTTTATGTCTTTCTGTTGTGTATCCTGCCTTGTATTTAATATCTGTCTGTTATGCCCTAATTGTTAGTTGCTTGTTGTCATGGTGTCTCCCCACAGTAACAAGCTGTACCAGCAAAAGTATCCACCTACCTATGTTGGTTGTGTGGCAATAAACACTTATTCAGATTTTTTAATTTTTATTTTATTGAGTTTAAATTTAAAGTGCATTTCTTTTTTTGTCAGCCAAAATAAATAAAATATAAACATATGTGTTTGTGTGTCTGTGTGTGTGTGAGAGAGAGTGTGTGTTTGTGTGCATGAGAGAGAGAGAGAGAGAGAGAGAGAGAGATACTGTATTCTTACCTGACTGTCATGTGACTGCAAAGGCAGTGGGCCAAGACATTTCTGATAAGGGTAATCAAGACCCCCCCCCAGCTTTTTAGAAATAATATTGGAGAGGTAAATTTAAAAAGGGAAACAGTTTTTTCTTCTATACCATGAACATTTCTCTTTTTCTTTACTGCACACTTCACTGGTATTTCTTTAACACAATGCACAATGCTCTTTAAAACCCAAGAAACAGTGCAGATTTTGGGATACAGCTCTCAGTCTGCATTGTAAACCCCCTGTTTCTTGGAGTGGGGCTGATTACAGGCTATGGATATTTAAGAAACATTGCTGTCGGGTGAACATGATTGTTTCTTTAGTTTTTATGCCGGAGGTGTTTTTGTGGTGGTGCGCTCCACAGAATCAGCTCCGTGCTTGGAGGAAAGTGTTATGAGAGCCGGGGCACCTTTCTGGAGCCCTTCAAATGTGTTTACACGTGTTCGTCTTAAAAATAGCCTTGCTATGGTTGTTGATGTTGTAATATAAGGTGGACTGAAACATCTCAAGCATTTCAAAAGAGGCAAAGGACAAAACGGGACTCGGCTGAATCCCTCACAGCAGACCGGCAGAATCGCTATTTCATTTGAGGGAGATTGGATCTGTTCTAATTACATGATGTGGTTGTGACAACCCCCTGGATTCCAGTATTTACCACAGTCTGTGTCACATGTTTCAAATTTAATCGTGGTCTTAATCAAGCTTTTCTAAACACTGCAGTTAATTTAATGTTTACCATTCTTTGTATCGAGTAAATTTATATGAAACACTGCCAGATATTAGATCGTGACATTTTTGAAAGGTTTGAAATGGGATAAAATTGATGTCTGTGGTTATGGAGATTTTATGTAACCTTAATAAAAGAAAATTAGTGTTTTTAAGATGGTAACATAATATTACTGTCATAGAAAATAGATTTTATTTGAAACGGTAGGAAAAATATATATATATAATATATATAAAATATCAACTTCCAAAAACTATTAACATGTAAATTTTGACTAGCCTTCAATTATTATTATTATTACTATATAATAATAATAATGATAATAATAATAATAATAATGATAATAATAATAATAAGGATCCATATCTTTAAATTGTTTGAATTGTGTTAATTGTGTTGAATTGTGTTCGCATTAATTTCAATTTGGGGAATGTGTAAAAGTGATGTTGTTATAATAGTACTATACCTCTATATGTATGTCAAGAAAAACTAGAACTTCTCAAAATATTCAACTTTATTAACATTGATAAAAATATGTTTATCTCCTAGTGGTAACACTGACTTCTAATTTTTGTAATGTAGTCAATATTTTTCAGTAACTACAGACAGTTACAGTAACTGTGATTATTACCAGATGTGACTTCCACAACCAACAACCTCCATAATTATTTTTAAGTTGTTAAAGTTATTTTAAAGGCATCTGGCGACTACTATTTATGTCGTATTGCCTTGTATTATAAACTGCCTTTCATATTTTTTACGTTAGTTTAAAAAATGGTATAATTACTGCATTCTGAAAGGAAACACTTTTTATTTATGGTTTTAAGTTATAAAATCTCTTGTTTACTACTGCTGGCCCATAGTGTTACAAATGACTTCCACGTCCTCTTAGATTAGGGACACAGGGTTTCCTTATGGTGCCTGTTTGTTAATGGCTGTTAAAGTGGAAGCTCATTTGCCTAAAGAGCCGCGCGGGCGCCTGGCGATGGGGCGGGCGGGACCAGAGCGCGGTCAGCGAGGCTGTCGGGAGCAGATCTGTGTTTCTTTTGCTCGGTGACACACTGTGAATAATCTCCCTTCTCTCAAAGGTGTGTTTGTGAGATAAAATAAAACCAGCTGACAATGACATCTCTGCATTCTCCTCTTGCGGGGGATGAACTCAGCATAACCTCACTGTGATATTGCTGCCGCTTCCTCTGACAATGGCTGCGGTGCTTTAAGGAGAGCTCTGCGCTTCTGCTTCAGATGGGCTTCATTTCTGCTCACAGGAGTAGAATGACCGCTGTGTATAATTGTAAATATTGAATATATAACGTATGGTTGCAAAGCCGTTCCTATCACCCTGCTGTTTGTGTTGCTGCCTGCTGCCCCAATATGTGCTGGAATCACAAGTGTAATGTAACAGGAGCCTGTGGTATAGGGGTGATTTGCCAGTGGGACAGATGCTTCTGGAATTTTCTTTCATGCGCATCGATGGGCCTGTCTGTTAAGCATACCGTTACTGCCCAGTTAGGTTTATATTAAAAATCTGGGAGTCATGCAGAATGGGCAGTTCATAGAGCGAGGGCCTCAACGTCTTTGCTGCGGAGGAGTTAGTGCGTCGGCTGTGACCCCCCCCCAGCAGCTAGCTGGGTGTTTTATCCTGCCGATAGAGCCGTCACATGTTCTGCTCTCAGATTCCCGTCTTCTGCTCTCAGATTCTGTTGGTGGGGGGGTAGGGGGGCAGGTGTAAACACCGCCTCACACCAGTCGGAAATTTTAATTATAGCTAATCTTTAATTAATAGATTTTGCTCAAGAAAAAATATTTGTTGATCATTTACAGTTTAATCCTGAAAGCTAAATTAAAATCCTGAAATATAAAAAAGATATGTTAAAGGAATAGAGAGTCTAACTATGGAAGCAACGTGCTGTAATGTTGATAACGGCATATGCTAATTACAAACACTGACAGACTGCGTTTGACAAAGTCGGCGTGTGTACTTGGGCAGGTGACAAAGTGAGCTATGTACCCTGGGCAGGTGACAAAGTGAGCTCTATGTACCCCGGGCAGGTGACAAAGTGAGCTATGTACCCCGGACAGCTGACAAAGTCAGCCATGTACCCCGGGCAGGTGACAAAGTGAACTATGTACCCCGGGCAGGTGACAAAGTGAGCTATGTACCCTGGCCAGGTGACAAAGTGAGCTATGTACCCCGGGCAGGTGACAAAGTGAGCTATGTACCCCGGGCAGGTGACAAAGTGAGCTATGTACCCTGGCCAGGTGGACGTGAAGCGGAAACTTAGAACCCTGTCAAAGTACATATTGCTACATCCTGTAGCAAATAAACATCTCACTGCACTGAGCACAAGCAGGACATCCAGATAAGGTCTTTGTTTAATATATAATTCATATGGTGATGAAACTCACAAAAGAGCCATTGGAACTGATTAGTCCAGCTCTAAAATCAGAGATGAATCAATACCAGAAATGCAGAAACATAATGTGCTTCCATGCAACACCGGTTGCTCTATAAGGAATGGAAATTAGATTGGCCTGCAGTTACTGGGTCTGCAGTTACTGGGCCTGCAGTTACTGGCTCAAAGTTCAGATGCGATCCGTGTTCTGCAGTGAAGTAGAAGCGTTAATAGTGCATTCTGACTGCTCTGTCCTGTTGTTTCCAAACATTAAGTGGATATTCCATCAGATGTATCCATTTCTGAACCAGCTGTCAGTAGCTAAATAAGCCTAAATAGCTATAAGTGGCTCGCACTATGACCAAATTAGCATAGGCCTGTGTTCTTGCATAATTCCTTATTAGAATTTATTTCCTGTTTTGCAAACAGAAAGAAGAGGCACTTTGTTTATGCATGGTTGCTTAATCGGACAGAATATGTACAGGAACCAGCGGCTCCGATTTATTCAGACTTGTTTTTTTTTCTTCCACAGTTAACCTGCTAGATTCAAAAGCGAGTCAAGGGGAACTTGGATGGATTTCCTACCCGTCTCATGGGGTGAGTGTATCGCAGAGCTGCCAAGTGACCCCCCCTTCTGGGGGGTGCGCGCTCGCTCAGCCTCGCGGGCATCTCTGCGCCGGCACGACTTCCTCGAAGTCTCCGCCTCTGTGGCAGCATCACATCTTCTGGCCTCGCGCTCGACGCGTCAATGTAATAAAATCACAAATAACTGGGACAATAACAGGAGAAAATAACGTAAAAAATGTAATAAAGGAAATAAATAAAATATTAATGATTTATTATCATTATCCATCATGGAAAATCCCCAAACACATTTTCATTAATTTCCCATTTCCCATAGAGATGTAACGTAATGGTTTAATGAATGGAAGTGTTTATTTTACCGGAAACGTTTTTCCTGCACTTACCCTAGCTCTAAATCATTATTACATTTTATGAAGTGTTAAAATTACCCATTGGCACTTGCTTATGGTAACACACCAATTTGTTCTGGGTTACCTTTACTGAGTTTATAGTTCTAGGACGTATAAACAAAATCTCCAGTTATTTTAATTATTTACTTTGTTATGAAAGGGAATATATACTATATAAATAATTTTAATATAGTGCTATTATGCTATTATGCTTCCATCCATCCGTCCATCCATCCATCTTCCAAGCACTTCTGATTTGGTTCGGGGGGGCGCCTGGAGCCTATCTCAGTAGCATAGGTCACACAGCAGGAGTACAGCCAGAACAGGGAGCCTATATATTACTGGGGCCTGTATGCATGCTGCATGAGACACCACTTACCCTAACTATCTTTCTGTGGATTGTGTGCGAAAACCGGAGCCCCTGGAGGAAACCCAAGCCGCACTGGGAGATCATGCAGACCCGCACATAAGAGCGGAGGCGGGACTGAAACCCCCACTGCTGGAGGTGACAGTGATACCCACCGAGTCCTCATACCACCTTTAGGCTATTTCAGCATTATGGGTATATAACTTAATACTGTATATACCTAAAGCCTGTATACAAATTACGGTATCTTAAGCAGAGCGAAAATGGTCCCCCTGAATCTGTCAATGAAAGTAAAACAAATCATTAATCCTGACCCTGTTAAACTCTTCTGTTCTTTGTCAAGGTGGGTGGGGGCAAGACATCAAACCCTCCTGAGATAAATTACTAATAATCACTTGTGACCGCCCCCCCCGCGGCCCGGTAAGCGCTCTACCCTGCCATCCCAGCCGCGTTAGCCAGGCTGGCCCTGCACGTGAGGACTAATCGCACCGGTCGAAGCGAGTGAAGCGCTGGAGGCTGCCTGCACGGTCCTGTCGAATGCGCTGCCATAACCGCTGGAAATATGAATGTACCCTGTGCAGACAGAGTCTTAAAGCACACAGCGCTGTGTATTGCAGCCTCTCCGAACGTCAGTGGGGCTCAGCCTGGGATTCATTATCCCCCCCCCCCCCCCCCCCCGTACTCCCCGCCCCCGTCATAGTCACACTGAGCTCCGTTCGGTCCCTGAATACGCACCATGAAGCTCGCACATAGGCGCACACGCCCCCCTGTCCCAGCAGGCAGCCCGTGCTCGTTCCCATTTCCAGGGAGCGGCCCAAAGAGCTGGAGATTATGAGATAATTGGAACGTGACGATTGGGATTTGGGCTCCGCCCTGCGTGAGTGGTGCGAACTCGACGGATGCTAGCGCCTCCATACTTGCCTTGAAGGTCTAACAGCGGCCATTGTGTACCAGCACAATATGGCACTAAGTTTGGGCACTCAGGAAAATGAAGGAAATGTTGATTATGAAATATATGTATAAATGAAGTGGAAGAGTGCGTGAGTCGATTAGCCTTTAGCTAAATTAACAGTGAAGACAGCAATGCCTGACCTCATTTGACCCCCCCTTGGAAATGGTTTTACTTTACTGCCCAAGTATCTTTTTTCATCCATCTTGTTTTTGACAGTAATGCAATTTGCCCAGCTTGAATGGACCATCTGACGCACCTTCCAACTTCCCGCTTTCATTACAGTTAGATACTTCTTTAGATTTCCTTGAAATGGATGGAATTCATTCATCCATCCTTCTGTATTAACAGAAGATAATGTAACTTTAGTATTTTGTTGGTAACAAAACTCTCTTGGGTCTCCAGAGGCATGGATAAAAAGCAGTTACAGTGGATTAAAATTAACTTATTTTTATTTATCTACCGAAACAGCTTTGGACAATCAGCTCAACTCTCGTCACGGTTCTGAAAGCTCTCTCTTTCTCTCCCTCTATCCCTCTCTCTCTCTCTCTCCCTCTCTCTCTCCCTCTTTCTCTCTCCTTCATTCCCCCTCAACAAGAGCTGTGTATGCAAACCCATACATGGGAACCAAACCCACAGACATGTTACAGGATACATCAAACACTAACATATTACAAGCACTTTCTGTATGAACAGTCATCACTTTCAGCCACCGTCTAAAAGAAACTTCTAACCACTTATCCTGGTCTGGGTCACATAGTTTATATGAAGATAATAGAACATGTTTAAAATATATTAAGCATTTCAAATCTAACCCTTTTTTCCATTTCATTGTAAATTTGAAATACTGACCAACATCTTCTCCCAGAAAACAGCGTCCCGTCTCAAATCCATTGACATTTTTTAATCCTGAGAGAGCCGTTACAAGGAAATCTCAGATTTTGTTTTTGCAGATGGAATAAGACAGTGAACCAGCATACTGGATTCTGGAAGAAGCAACTCTGAAAAATGTCCCACGATTCGGTGTGCAGGTCTAAGTTGGAGAGGAGTGTCTGTTCTATAAAAGCATTAAGTTAGCAAAAACCAATCCAGCTCCAAAGGAAAGGCCATTATAAACAAGGATTATTGCTTGGGAATGATAGATGATAGATAAGAATGTGTGGTTCTGATTTTGTCATTGTAGAGCATAACTTTTCACTTTGACCACAATCCTACTGTCTCAGCTCCACATGCGATTCAGTGCCTTCCTTTGCAGCATGACTGTATCTGGCCTTGATATTCAGCCCAGCTCCATTCAGATTCCCCCAGACAAATAAATTCCTGCTATGTTTTACCAGTGCATCACCCCCTGCACACACACACGTTTTAATCATCCCATCAGGTGACAACAAATTCATCCTAGCAGTTACCGGATTGGATTTCAGTGCAGAGAATGCTTATGAACACTAAACACATTGTTCGACTTTCATTTACGTAATGCAGCCTCAGGATGTTATTAATATAACTTATTTTTCTGTAATATGACTCTGAGAGAGATTATTCTTACATTGCATATATCTCTAAAGCGCAGTCATTTCTTGTGATTGTCTACTTTCACCAAAGGGCTTCTTTCTGAAAGTGTTTACTTGTTGGCCTGGTTTCTCGTTAAGTGTACATGAGGAGACAGCAGCGCTTGCCAAAATGCTCATTTCAGTGTTTGCATGCGTGCAACTTTCCATTGGCTTGGGAAATTACGGCTGTAAAATGATACAGGAGTCACCATTGTGCTGATATTCACCAAATCACATTATCGGCCCTATTGTAATCTCCCAAATGCCAAAGCACACTTTTTTTTTTAATTCACTAATTCTGACCTTACACCAAAGGGTAGCATTGTCACAGACGGAGAAAATAATCTCTCATTGATTATGCCCTATTAGTAATTTATTTATTTAATCTATGTATCGTGCACTTAAATATCTAGATTCAGTGATTGTTGCTGTGCTACATTGTATATTTAATTGAATTAAATCTTAAATGTCAGCATTGTGTATCGGTGTCGTATTCTACAAAATAACGCAGCTGGTGTCTCTCTATGCCTGTACCTCTTCACCATTTTATTTTTTTGGTCAATATTTTAATTCTTCCAGTGACGGAGCCTGGAAATGGGATGCTACATTATAAAAAAATCAAGGTCATAGAATGAATATCTGTAGCAGCGCATGAGCATTTTCCCTTTAAATGGGGTTTAATGTCTCTTTGTCGCACGACTGCAAGCCATAACCAGTTCTAGGATAGCACCAGTCTATGCTTAGTGTCAAAACCAAATTTTTCTGACATGTATTTATTTATTTAATGTTAATATTTTCAAAACAGTTTCCATATGTAATTGGGGCAAACAAATAAAAAAAAGTACAGGAATATGCAAGTGATATTGTGAGACTTGGTCTTCCTCCAAGTGGTTTTCTGTTCATTCTTATGGGAAAATTAGAATCACTTTTCAGCAAAATTGCTTTTCGCCCCAACTGCTGGGTCCTATCCAAGGGTGGAAAATAGTGACCCACTTTATTCGAAAATACAAAGGGGGGGAAAAAAACACGCACATTGAACCATGGAGCCTTAGATGTGGAAAGGAGCTTTCTGCTGGAAATGTCACCCCCCGCTGCTGGAGATGTTGATGGTAACACTGGTCCGGGGACCTTAAAGAGACCCTCCTTTGTCTCCATGACCACATCATTTCCATCGGCGGTGTGACATACAACATACGACATGCTGCAGGAGAGGCTCTGGTCTGTCGTCTGGCCCATGCAGCGCTGTGTTATCCCAGGCAGTCTCTTTGCGTGTGAAGGGGAGTTTAGGCATGGGGAATGTGATGTCGATCAGGGGAGACTCGGAAGGCTTCTCCATTTCGCTGGCTCTGTGTGGTGCTTCTGAGAAATCCACCGCTACATCTCACTCGGGAGATCCTCAATAGCATTGAAAAATCACTCAGAAATTATGCTGTGTGAGAAGTGCTGGAAAGCGTGATGGATGTGCAGGAAATTCAGGTTCACCACAGTCTGCTTACGGAAAGTATTAATAACAAAGGAATCATTTTAAAAATATGTAGTCTGTTAGACCGGCTGCTCTAGTTACTAACCTCAGCTAATTCTGCTTCTCCTTTTTATCTATAAACACACAATGATGGATTATTAAGAATAATTACATTTCGTGATGATCATCTGAATCAGGTGCCATGGTTGTTTCTGGTTGTTATTGCAAACTGCTGACATTTTTTATGGAACAGAGATAGAAGAATCTTGCCAGTTCAGAAAGAGGCCTCTTCGCTGGGTGTTTAATTATCCTGAAATTACATCCAAACAAGCAGATCTGTATATATGTCGACATGGCACATTGAATAGGGAGAGACTGAGATCCCTTCACCGCTTTTATATGCTGCAGGAATTCCGGAGGCTGGAGTCCAGAGCTGTTCACTGAGAAACAGGAGTGCAGCTGTTTACATCATCGAGTTTTTGGGGCATATTTATAACCCAAAATCTCTCTGATGACATTGACTGCAGAGTCACTGCTGCCTCATATGGATCAATCTTCTAACTATGTAACCTTATGTGTGGCAAAGCTGCTGATTAGTGCATTTTCAAAAGATTCGCAGTGAAGGTTACACAAAATTATAATAAAAAAAGCAATATCTCTAAAAAATGTAACAAGATTGAGTGTTTCCTGGATGACTGCAGCTAAAATGTCTTAATTTTGCATGTCATGCTTTTGGAAAATCACTGTGTATTAAAAAAATATCTCTTTTCTTGAAATGAAATCAAAGCTTGTTACATTTCCCAAAAACCCTGCATTTTATGGATCAGCAGGATCATATTGTACTCTGTAAATAATGATCTGATTCATCAATACTCAGTAATATTTGGTACTTTGGTGTCTATACAATGCATTGTCACATCCTGCAAATGACTGGATGAATAAATGTTTCTCTTTTTGGTCCCAGTGGGAAGAGATCAGTGGGGTTGATGAGCATTACACGCCCATCCACACCTTCCAGGTGTGCAACATCATGGAGTATAACCAGAACAACTGGCTGAGGACAACATGGATCCCACGAAACTCAGCCCAGAAAATCTATGTGGAGCTCAAGTTCACCTTGAGGGACTGTAACAGCATCCCCCTGGTCCTGGGCACCTGTAAGGAGACCTTCAACCTCTACTACCTGGAGATAGATGAGGATCAGGGGGCCAAGTTCAGGGAGCACCAGTTTTCCAAAATTGACACCATCGCGGCTGACGAGAGCTTCACGCAAACGGACCTGGGCGACCGCATCCTCAAGCTCAACACGGAGGTGCGGGAGGTGGGACCCATCACCAGGAAGGGCTTCTACCTGGCCTTCCAGGACCTGGGGGCCTGTGTGGCCTTGGTGTCAGTGCGAGTATACTTCAAAAAATGCCCCACAATGATTAGGAACCTGGCTGTCTTCCCCGACACGGTACCCACAGACTCCCAGTCGCTGGTGGAGGTGCAAGGGTCCTGTGTGAATAACTCCAAGGAGGAGGAGACTCCCAAGATGTACTGCAGCACCGAGGGGGAGTGGCTGGTGCCGATTGGGCAGTGCCTGTGCGATATCGGCTATGAGGAGCGCACTTTCTCCTGCCAAGGTAGAGTCTCCTCGTTTGTCTCTCCTTGTCTCCATTTCTGTTTCTTTGTAGTGCAACAGCAGGGCTGTCGAACGATTCCCTGTAAACTGCTATAAACACATGCTGCCTTTAAAGAATAAGCACACCTTGCCATTATATATATATACTGTGTATATTTATATATATATATACAGTATATTTATACACACACACACACACACACAGAGTTATTTTTTCAGTATTCTGGAACATATCTGTTAAGGTATAAATAGCATAATAGCATAAAGTTGATGATCAGCTGCTGGAGGGTTTGGTGAATCTCCTGCTTGAAATTTCGTGCCCTGTTAGCAGAGAGGTGGGTGTTGTGTGGTTACTGACTGTTAGAAAGTTCTAGACCGATGCCTTTCAGCAGCTGCTGCAGCTCGGGAAGCTGATGGGCTGGGCGGTAAGAGTAATGAACCTGGGGTATTTATCCACAGCGGAAAAAATGCAGTGGGCATCGCTGAATTGACCATTTTTACCATGTTAATGCGACCAAAACATTTGGGATTTCACACTGTGACTCTTTACTGGGTATGCTGTTTTAGAACATGGAGGACTGTTTTTTTTTCTCTTTATGATATGATATGATATGATCAAAGTCTGAGCTGGCATGATGTCATGGTGATGCAAACATTGTTGGAATGGAACAATGTGTCTCTGGCTTACAAGCATGTTAATTTGTTTGTGAATGACGTTAAGGAAATCTCAGAGGCCAGATCCCTCCCTTACCTCCGTACCACGCTAAGAGCTGTCTCACTGAGTTTTGTCAGAAGTGGCTCCTGATTCCTGCTTTGGGAATCGAAACCATCACAGCCTGGGCTGGTCTCTGTTTCTCTCTCTTTCAGACATGGCGCTCTGGTTATTTTGAGCACCTTTTAGGGGCTCTACCTCACACATGGTCCTTCTGGTTATTTCGTTTTGCTGGATTTACAGAGATGTCAGAGACAGAATTGTGCCGCCAGCAGGGATTTGCATGATTGCTCTGAACTGAAATATTTGAACCAACCTGGAAGACAGATGATAATTTTAAGTGAAGAATAACGGCCTCATTATATGTATGAAGCATGTGTAAACTTGATATGATATTTATGTGATTTTTTTTCCTTGTATTGGAGCTTTTATTGAAATAGACCTACATATCGAAGATACACTGAACTGGGTGCATGACTAAGTATTTGGGATGCTGCAGACGTGCTCGGTCTGGGATGAGTTACACATGGAGGCCTCCATCCACTCAACCTGTTTCTCTTCGTGGTGTCCAGATGGTGGGTTCAACAACCTGCTTGACATCTGGGTGCGGTCTCTCCGTCGGACTCGTAGCTGAAGACGAGCGTGTGGCAGGCGGCAACCTTATTACTGCTCACGGTCCTGCAGGGCGGGAATGTCACACTCCAGACCGTAAACTTATTCGAGTGGTTTGAGAAAGCTATAGCGTTAAGATAAACTTTGCATTTCCCGACCTTCATCACCAGCCCAACACCCAGGCAACTAAGTGGGAATTCTCCCGATTAGCCACTCGGGCACTGCTGCCCAAGACAGTAACCAAACCAAACTTCAGACTGAAATATTATTTGCGTGCATCTCTGCACCCAGATAATGAAGATATTAGAAGGCAGGGAGCCGCACGGGAGGCTCCGGACGCCACAGTGAGACGGCTGTGACTGATCGGCTCTGGTTATTGAGAGAGACGTTCTGCGGCAGACGGTTCCTCGTCACTGTGAATCCGCATCGTGCTCCTCCGCTCGGCACACAGGGTTCAGCAGCCATGGAAAGGTGGAACGAGTCCAGGCTTAGCACTGCACCGGAGAAATGCTGCATTATTTGCCGGCTCTTTGGTGAAAGGTTTGAGCTGTGCTGCTTGTTGTTTTTTTATGTTTCCGCTCACATGCACGCTTGTGTGCCGTGACTGAGAGGCTCCTGCGATGGACCTTCAGCTGTGTCGTGACAGGTGTCTGTGGCTGTGCAGGAAAGATAACTGTATAACTCTAAGCTTACATTTTATATTTCACTTAAAATGTATTGTCTGTGTACTACAAGAAAAATCTCCTACTTCTTCATTATCAGCCTGGTCCAGCAGCAGGCAGTGTATGTACTGTCTGCATTGTCCTTCTTAGCTTGAATATGACCAGGACGCTACAGTATTTCCAATCTGGGCAGTCCGTTTTGTTTTTGTTAAGTGTAAAATGCTAAGTGTTTCCAATTGCAGTGTTTTTCAAGCTGGACGTTGGATTTTTTTTTTTTATCCTGTAAGTTTATCTGTTTTAGGTCCTCTGCTCTCCTAAAATAATTGCATATAAAATCTGCAGAATGAATCCCCACACAGAGCAGGTACCTTCACAGGCTGATTACAGTGGGGTTCATGCCGTTACAGCCTTATAGCAGAGTGCAGTCGCTGCCACATAGAGACGCAGAGTCGATAGCGGTTTGACGGGCCGCCCTCTCCGCTTCACATGCATCACTGGCGTAAAAGGTGGGGATCCTCGCACCTCTCATCGTTCCACAGAGCCGACGGCGAAGCCAGCCGCCGTCGACAGTCCCGCGCAGCCGTCCCGGCTCTGTGTTTTCATCTCTGAGAACATTATGACTGTAATGGATTCCTGTAAAGGGGTGAAAATCCAATTTGTTGAAGATTGGATTGATTTCAAAAGGCATGACGTTGCTTCGGTGGAGTAAAACAGCTTTACCTTTGTAAATTGGTATTATCAATGGGAAAAAAGACGACGTCATACAGCAATAATCCTCGCCGAACAATCGCTTCTTCATTCCCCGTCAGCTGGGTGAGGTATATCTGGTGAAGTAAAACTTTCATTACCAGGGAGGTCTCAGCTGTCAGCCTATATGTATCAAACTGCAGACCAGGCATTAGCACTATTGTGAAGAAAGTGACATTTTTATCCATATTATTTGGATTTATTGACACACTTAATGCCATGTTCCTGATCCCTGGATTATACCTTTTTAAATCATTAGATTATATTACATCTTATCATAACCAAGTACAGCAATCCATTCCGAAAATCCCGTACTGAGGGCTTATGGGGCGAAAAAAAAACACTCATGTGAGGTTTTTGCCTCTTTTTTTGCGATGCTGTGTGCCTGTGGTTCCTTCCTTTGGAACCTCATGTCTTTGAGCAAACATTGGCCTAACGGTTCTGGTTGACACAAGCCCAGAGCAAATCCCTGCGTGCTGAGATTCCATCAGGAGGACCTCGGTACGCTAATTCTCAGCCATATGTGCATATGCGGCCTTAAATCCTTTCATTTTCTAATTCAGATTTCCGAGAATAGAATCTGAACGTGCATTCTCCTGAATTTACAGCTGGTAATTATCACAGGTCATTAGGACAATCCTTTTCATCTCATTGGAGGTTTCGTTGAGCTTTTGGTCCAGATATATTTGCTTGTAATGATTCTGGACATCAGGGTTGCCAGTGACCTCTGCTATCCTAAGTATCCTCCAGTCAGTATGCTGTGTGTATGCCATGCTGAAAATACACATGGAGTATTTTACTGAATGCTTTCAGCATTAAATGAGCTTATTGTTCTCAGATTTGAAGGGATGATTTGAGGAATTACATTTTTGTGCCTTCATACATAATACATCTCTAGTTACTAATATGTCTGCACCCAGGGTTATCAGGAAGGGCTGATGGTTTTTCGAAAGACGTTTCTTCTTTTATCTGACATGTTCTGCGTCGGCTTTTACCCGTCTCTGTCACGGCCCCGGCTCTGTGGAGCAGATCGCTTGTCGCGCTGCTGGACCAGGCCGCACTATCTGAGTCGAGGCTTGTGTGCTCCGGTGCTTACAAGGCAACACGTCCTTCACGTTCCTCGCAACCACCTTAAAGTGCCCTGCATTCTGTCCCCTGTCCACAAACAGGCGCTCGGCGCTAGGGGCCATAACTCGCACCTTTTCTCATGTGGCATCTTCAGCCAAAGGCATCGTCCGCATACATTGAAAAGTTCAATATGCTGTCCCAAGTTTGGTTTTCGAAGAGAGATTCCATTTCTGGTGGAGATTCAGAAGGTCCTGTAGTGGAAATGGAAGAATGAAGTAAATCTGCTTTTTTCTTAGGGACATAATACAAAAGGAATATTGCATTTCAGGTTCATATTCAATCGCACAGATCCTCCACCTTGAGTCTTTTTACACTAAAGCACAAGGAGCAGTGGATACTGGGGTGACAGTTCTCACATCGCAGCTAAGTTGCCAATATGGCTGATAATACCATAATTTCATGTCAGTAATAATGTTTCGGCAAGAATTCCCTCTATACTGTTTTAGAGCCAACTGTACTCGTGCACAGAAGTCTGTCATTCTCTTTAAAGTCAAGGATATAGTTTTGTTTGCGTGGGTCCACTGCTTAGCAGTTTAACCAGATTAGATTAATTATGAATGAAATAGCCTTTTGAGAGGATACCTGAAGTCACTTGACATTTTGCAGATGTGCTTGAGTAATTGAGTATCTGAAAGAGTATTGCACACGTAGTGTTCCCTGAGTCAGAGACTTCTCTATGGAAGCTTGACTAACGCAGTGCCCTTGATATCTACGCCTTTGGAAATAATAAGCTACTGCTTTGTCAGTTGCGTGGCTTGATTTGCATTTACAGCATGCTCAGTGCAGTTGAAGCATAAGTGATTGCAATTGACTCAGAGATCGGTGATATTATTCCTAGATTCTGATTAGGGCTTGATGTTGGTTCTGCAGGTCTCCTGCTGGCCCTGCTACACTGTCGTGTGCTTTTTGAGCTCGACAGATCTTCCCTCACAGGGGACCAGTGCATTGGCTGACATTTAGCCTCAATCAAGAACAACACTGAACTTTCAGGAGCTTGCTCTGCTAACACAGTGAAGAAGCTTTAGTTTTGGGGTCTGCCTGGATCATATTCTTCCGTTAAGGCTGGCTTGGTGTTGACTGATGTCCAGGGGGATTAAGTCAAGTTGGACTCAAGCTCACGTCTGACTCTGATTTTCAGAC